CAATAATTAAGCTGCGATTGTTGTTAACATGTTAAACATACACATTTCAATTTTTGAAGTTATGTTTTACACTGACAGATGCTTCTTTGACTATTTTCATATGTTGCTCATGCCAAAATATAATTATTAAACAACAATAATATGGCAAAATTTGTAACTTTATGTGATTCATAATTATTTTCTATCTATTAATTGCTATCTGGTTGTCGTAACGTAGCTTGTTTATTATAATAAATTTACGAAAAAATCACAAACGTTAGCAAGCAATCTTTTTCTTCAAGTTAAAAAAATATTTCTGTTAAATTATATTATCTATGAAGTATTATTTCAAGTTTAGTTAGTTTATAAGATGAACATCAAATCAATTTTAATAATAATTTTAAAAGAATAATTGATATAAATTAGAATAAAAGGACGATATTTCTACTTGTAAAAATAAATTTATCCATTCTTTATATAAGTCAGTGTAACCGCACTTCTGCTTGATTCAACAGTGACGTTGTTGACATTTTATTTTATCTCCATTCTCGATATTATTTAATTTTACATAACTTTCTAAAAAAGTTTAATTTACTATCCAATTATTTGAATTTTTTTATATTAATATATATTTTATATTATTGCATATTTGTTTTAATCATTTAATACCGTCACATAAATCAGGGTTTATTCTAGCGGGTCGTGCGAAATAAATGATTTTTTAAACGCCGATTTAAATTGTTAAAATATTTCTTAGCTTAATTACAGCGTCATTGTCTTTATCGATAATGTTTTATAACATGCACTTACTATTTGCTATTCATTACAATGATTACATTCCATAATTACATTATCACTTTGTTGGTTTTGCATCTAAAATTAACATTTAAGATAATTTTTATTGTTTAAAAATAATAAATACTATTTTTTAATTCTCTCTAAAGCTTCAGTGATTTAGTGAATGCCGTATGTATATGTGCGTACAACATTTTATGTTTCTTCACGTTAGAATAACTTGTTTGTGTCTGCCTCAGTGAATGCTTCAGTGTGAGTAATTGTAAGTACGAAATATTAGCTACATTTTTTGTTTCGTTACTGCCCACAACTTTACATTTAACTACCCAGGGTGCCTTTTATCACGGCACAAAATTTTTTCTAACTAAGCACTTTGGGTCCAGCTGCCCATTACTGACGTAACTATTTATTATTATTCACCAATGTTTCAATTTTACGCCTTAACTATCTGGCTTGCATTTTGAATGATATAAAAATTGCGAATCTGAGTAAATTTTTGTGGTTAAAGAGACATACACAATAGATGTTTTTTATTTTGAAAAAACTTAAAGAGCTTTCGAAAAGAAATTGGCTTATCTTATTGAATGGCGTAATGCGTGAAATTTTAAATTGAAATACAATTTCTGATGTTTGTGAGGTTATCCTTATTCTGATTTTAATGATTGAAGATTAAGTATTTTTTTTAACTTTTTTTTTAGAGAATTAAGTTGCATTGTTCTAAATAAATTGTTCAGAGTGGTTATTGTTACAATAAATTCATCATTACGTCGTCTTCTATAAGACGCTAATTTTATCAACAGAAAAAACATAGAACCAAAACTTGAATAGATTTACCTCTTCACAGCTACAAAAGCAACAGTAAATTTTATTGAAGAAAAACTATGAAACGCAAAGCTGAGTTCTACAGTGACACAAACTAAACATTACCTTATAACAGGAAAAATAAAACCACTACAACAATATGTGGTGGGAAATTGTATAACATGGTTGGTCATAATCATTTCCACAACGCTGTTATCAAAAATAACAAAAAGACGTGGCACATGAAACACAAAGTGACATGATTTGACTTTAGCAACGAACCGCACACATTTCGTTGACATAGATATATTCACATTCACAGGTCAGTGCAACGCTGAACCATGTGTCGTCTCTCATTGGACACTTCAGCCACTGCCACTATGGAGCGACTCACATCTTTATAATAAACGGGTACGCTTGGTACATTCAAAAAGTTCGTATTTAAAGTACTTGTGTGTGTGTTTATGTATCCATGTATGTAAGCAAGCACGCATGCCTGTGTTACGTATATGTATGCAGTGGTGCATCTGGACAACTTTGACTCGGATTGGGTTAAAATTTTGAAAATGTTTAATTTTAGCAGGGGCAAAAATTTTTACGTTGTGATCAACTTTCGTGTGGTAGTGTGGCCAAAATTAGACCAACAAATTTTTTTAATATTTCAATTTTGATCGATTTTCGACATCAGACTGACTTTTAATAAAAATGCTAATCACCTAGTGCTCCCAAGAACCGCCAATGAACCTATTCAAAAAGCTATTTATTGTTGTTTAATATTTATTTGAAGATTTTATTCATAACATTATTTGTTTAATGTTAAAATACTTAGAATATTTAAATTAAAATTATAAATTTATATAAATTTTTCTTTAACGTCTTGCTCGCGATGAATGTCGAATTCTTTACAAGAATGTTTTCAAAAACTCCACCAAATCTAGCTTCTGTTCTGGTGACAACTTAGACAAGTACAGATCACCTGTAAATCAAAAAAAGTATTTATCGGAAGTGGCATGTCTGTTGTGCTGATAAAAAAAAAAATGAATGAAATATTTAAACCCTTATCGGCAGTTATATAAAAAATATTTTGTGTATAAAGAAATATCTGTAAAATTTACAAAAAATACTCTTGTTTATGCACAACAATTGAAAATGATGTTGGAAGCAACTTTGAAACATTGAAAACAAAAATTTTACAAATGAAAAAATGAGTGATGATGTAAACACTGTGAACGAACCAGAAGCAGGCATGTCAGCAGGTCTTTCCCCCTTGCCAAGTATGTAGTCGATTCCTTTCTGCATACGCTCGGCACGTTCTCCCACTGGAACCTCAAGAATTTTCGCCTTGATTTTTTCTTTCAATTCATCAAAAGTCAGATGTTGATGATCCTCATCAGCTTGCACGCTCAAGAGAACCACTAAGAAAACAGAGAGTATGAGTTTGACGTGCATGACTGTCAGCTGAAATTAAACCTAATATAAATAATATATTTAAAAAATATATTTGTGAAATTTTTGAAATAATTCAAAATTTTTGAAATAGATCATGTTAGAGACGTGTTTGGAAATGGTTAATAATGAAACCAAAATATTTTTTGTACCTCGATTGAGAATGATGCAAGATAGAAACAAGACTGAAACATAAGACGATATTTCTTCAACTTTTATATGCACAATATCAAGCCTGTGTGGCAAACGTTTTGCAAAATTTTTATTATTTGTTCATGTCTCGTGTACAGATTAAAGTTCATAAACTGAAATGTTTGCGAACTTTGAAATTGTTTAATTTTAATTCAATTTCTTTAAAATGCATTGGTTATACAACTTGTAACACTTGAAAAATTTACAAATGAAACTACTTTTGAGAAGAAAATGTTTAATGTATTAGCTTTTTACCTGTGGCGAGAAAATTTGTTAATTTTTGTTTTTCATTGAACGACGTTGTAAAGTTTAAATTCTGCTGTTTTTATAAATAAACTGTTCAAAGTTAAAATTTTTTTAACGTAGAAAGTGTGTCAATTTCAAAATATAATGATTCTTATAACAAAATTTTATTAGTTTGAAAGTGTTGTTTGAATTACAAAACGTAATTTGTCGCTTGTCCTTTTGTTCAACTTAAATGAAATACATTTGAGATACTGAAATTCAAATAAAGTTTTAAACCCTATTGTTCAAGAGTAGTGAGGGTGCCAGAGTTTCTGCTCTATCTGATTTTAAAATGTTGCTAATTTTCATTTTAATTTGCTTTTAATAATGGATTTTCTTGTTTGTCCTGCTGTATGGCAAATAAACAGGATAAAGAATCAGTAAAAATCATACTCTTTTTGTTGTAACTATTTTGTATATAATCAAGGGCCATCTTTATTGCAAGTATTCCTTCTGTAAAAATTGAAGCTGTGTCAGACAAACGTTGTAGAAGTAGCTGAATAACGACTGGTGATGATGTTGAATTGCGTATTTTTGAACCATCTGTGCAAATTGGAATAAAATCTTCATATGTTTTTAATCTAGTTAAATATAATTTAATTGTTTCATCTTCATTTTTTTCGATACTTATAATGAATGTGTCGATAGGTGGGCAGTGGCGGATTAACTCCTTCTTGCCGCCTAGAGGCTGTCGTAATTTGCCGCCCCAATTTTATAATAATTTAAGGAAACTAAATTCAAATAAAAGCAATATTTTTAATATATTTTTATTATGTGCATTCTTTAATATAATTTATGTAATGTAATATTAGTGAAAATGTATTTGCATTAAACAATCTATAAAAAAATAACTTCAAAACTTTGTGTTGTGTTTTTATGCTTGCAAACTCATCAATAATGAAATTGAAGTCGAATCGTTGCAAAATTGTTTTCAAATGCAAGGAGAGCAAGCTTTTTTTCCTACGTTGAAGTCTGAAGTGCATTGTTTTCGTGAAAATAGCTGCTTTTGTTTCTTGGCTGAAAATCTTAAATCGTTTCTTTTGAACCAGTTTTATGCAATTATAATTTGAAGTGGATACAGGATTCGCTTGCTAAACTAAATTGATTTCATAAAATGAACTTTCTCTATTTTGTCAAATTATCGAATGTACATTTATCTAATATATTTTGTTTGGTTTTTTGCTTTTCTTAAATAACAACACATGCACAAAGAACTCAAGTGAATCCACATGAATCAAAGAATAATACGCGTGGTAGGTGGATCTTTTTGCATTCTAACTTGGTCGCGAAAACAAGAAGACTAGACGTCTTTACCATTGATTGCATCCATCTTAGACGTTAATAGGCCTAACGTTTGCCATCGAATAGGTTATTATTGATGATAGGTTATCAGATATATGCGTATAATATTTTTGATTTTTTGTAACATCAGAACCTGACCACCACCCTGCATGTTCAACTATGTTTTATGTTGAAAGTGTGTATAGAAACAACACGTCATCGTGTGATAATAAGTAATTTATTCATTAAGCCATTCAACAAATTATAAAATTTATTGAAAGTAGTTAATTTCTTGAATTATATAAGGTGAAGCCTTGTTACTTAAACATCGTCAAATGATCTCATCTAGTGCAGAAAGGATTTCAAGTAGTCAGCCAGTTCTTGTCTCTCATCTTGGCTCATTTTGGCGACGTGGTGATCAACTGGAACGTAAATTATAAAATAATATTTTATGATTAAGTTGAATGTTCGCGGAGATATTCAGTTCAACTTTAACATATAATGTGTTGATGTTAATGAAAAGTTCTTATTAACTTAAAATCTTTAATTGATGAACCCTAAAGTCGAAAGTGGGATGAAAAATTATTATGATAAAATACATAATATATAAAAATACTAAATGTTAAAAATGTCAGTTAATAAAAATTAAACCTGCAGCTGGCAAATGAGCTGGCCTAGCCCCACCACCAACCAGGTAATCAATTCCTTTCTGGATGCGGTCAGCCAACTGATCAGCTGGTGTCTTGTCGACGTAACCCTTGATCTTTGCCTTCATCTCGTCCATGGTCATTTCATGGTCATGATCGTGGTGGTCGGCTTGGACGGCCAGGAAGACGGCCACACCGATGAGAAGAGACAGGATGAGTTTGCCGTTCATGGTGGATGCGAGCTAGACTGCAATATTTCGAAGGTATAAATATTTACATTAGAAACTAATTAGATGTTTGAATGAATGAAAACAATTATTTATCTCTATGGTTTAAATTTTTTTCAAATAAAAATTAAAAAAAAAAAATGATACAAAAATGTGAAATAACAAATACATTCAGCTTAATTACCTTGACGAGAAATTGAAAATTGACAAAGTAAACAAGGAATACACAGTGATAAGCTTTTGTTCTTTTATACACGTTTTAAAACTTCTTTATCATCATTGGAATATGACCTTTGCACTCGTTCTGAAATTTAACTGTTCTGAAAATGATTTACTAATCAGCCGTTGCCATTAGTAACGTCGGCGGATGAACTTTAGCTGAAATAAATTAAACTCCATGCACCTCACATGCAACTTCTTCATCTATCATAAATTTCCCAGTCACAAACGTTCATATGAACAGCATAAAATCACAAACTGAAAAATTAAATATTAATTCACCTTTGGAAAAACTAAAATGTGTCATATGGAATTTGGTTTTATGTTTATTTCAAGTTTCATTCAATCTTTCAAATTATTACTTTTAAAAAAATTTGAACATCAACTCTTATATATCAATGAAATTAGTATTGCATACATATAAACTTATTACATAAGTCTTTAATTAAGATGAACGCTGAGTAACGTATCTTGAACCAATTAATGCATTCAAAGTTTAGATCGGAAGGAGCCAACCTGGCAACATGATGATTGATTTATGGTGCGATCTCATGCATCTTCGTTCGAAAGTGCTTGTCAAAGTTTAATGTCTGCACACAGTGTCGCTCGCAACTGAAAGTCCTTCATCCAGACGCCATCAAGCCATCCAGACATTGCTGATATTATATTAACGTTTTATGATTATTACTGTTGTTGTTTTTGTTGTTGTTGTTGTTGTCATACCAAGTTTAATTATCAAAACAAAACGAACAATTTTTTCTGTAATTTTTCACCATTTTGATTTTGGTGTAGTTTACCATATACATCGTATATGTTTTGAATATTATCTTGTTCGACAAATAAGGGAGACTCGGGTTTGTTGAACCAAGGGTAGGTTTAGCCTGTTTGGTAAATTTGGTAATTCATAAAAAATACCTGTAGGCGCTTGATAATTCTAATTGTTAATGCATTTAGAACCTTGCTGAGTTAATTTGCCAGGTTTTATGTCTGCAAATTGTCAAAGGAGGTACAGGGTGTACTGGGGTGAGGGGGATAAATGGGACGCCCGGAGAACCTGGAAGAGACGGGCAAGTAGGCAACACCGGTACGTGAGCTTTTGTGATTTTGTCGTTATCGACATCCACCATGCAACATCGCAAAGATATTTTAAGAAATAAAACAAAGCTCAAAATTTTGCATTGTCAAATTTCAGTGTTGTTTACAGTCAGTTAAGAAATATATTACTAATGATAAAAAATGTTGGCTGGAGTAATATATCAAGAAAGCTGCCGCGTTACAACGAGGTTTTAATTCAAGAGAAGTTTGCACGATGTCACACAAATTTGCGACTAGGAACGGCAAGATGTACTGCGTCCGAACAGAATTGTTGCTCGGAAAGATGATAAGAAAGCTGGTGCTATTGTTTTGCCAGAATGTGGTCAATTGGTTATTTTGGCTGTTACAATTAATGCATTGGGGAACGGTATTCCACCTGCATTTTGTACATCTGGTCAAACACGTACATTCTTCTGTTAAAAATCCAATCCTGTTGCTATTTGACACTCGTAAGTCACATGCATCTATATCTACGGAAAGAAAAACATGCTAAGTTTCTTCCACATTGCTCGCACAGGCTCTTATTGCTCAACCGATCGGTATTGGGCCTGTTTTTTTTTAATTAAGGTTTTGTTCTATGAAGTTTTTATTATCAGAATAGTGTATTGGAACATCAAAAATTAGTAGTGAGGGTGCCAGAGTTGCTATTTCATCTGATTTTAAAATGTTGCTAATTTTCATTTTAACATGCTTTTAACAATGGATTTTCTTGTTTGTACTGCTGTATGGCAAATAAACAGGATAAAGAACCAGTAGAAATCATACACTTTTGTTGTAACTATTTTGTATATAATCAAGGGCCATCTTTATTGCAAGTATTCCTTCTGTAAAAATTGAAGCTGTGTCAGACAAACGTTGTAGAAGTAGCTGAATAACGACTGGTGATGATGTTGAATTGCGTATTTTTGAACCATCTGTGCAAATTGGAATAAAATCTTCATATGTTTTTAATCTAGTTAAATATAATTTAATTGTTTCATCTTCATTTTTTCCGATACTTATAATGAATGTGTCGATAGGTGGGCAGTGGCGGATTAACTCCTTCTTGCCGCCTAGAGGCTGTCGTAATTTGCCGCCCCAATTTTATAATAATTTAAGGAAACTAAATTCAAATGAAAGCAATATTTTTAATATATTTTTATTATGTGCATTCTTTAATATAATTTATTTGTAATGTAATATTAGTGAAAATGCATTTGCATTAAACAATCTATAAAAAAATAACTTCAAAACTTTGTGACGTGTTTTTATGCTCGCAAACTCATCAATAATGAAATTGAAGTCCAGTCTTTGCAAAAGTGTTTTTCAATGCAAGGAGAGCAAGCCTTTTTTCCTACGTTGAAGTCTGAAGTGCAATATTTCGTGAAAATAGCTGCTTTTGTTTCTTGGCTGAAAATCTTAAATCGTTTCTTTTGAACCAGTTTTATGCAATTATAATTTGAAGTGGATACAGGATTCGCTTGCTAAACTGAATTGATTTCATAAAATAAACTTTCTCTATTTTGTCAAATGCTGTTTAATACAAATGTCGAGTGCTCATGTCAATTTTTTTCTTAGAGTTGAATCTAAACATCCACTTAACTGAATTTTGTTGAGTTTGGACTCTTGTTAGTACATTGAATTTTGAAAGTTTGACTTTTTGCCATAAAACAAGATCACTGATTTTTGATGAGTTGCTCCATTTGCTCCATGATAAAAACGAATATTGAATTGATATTGTTTCACTTGTTATCGGATTATTGGATGTACATTAATCTAATACGTTTTGTTTTGTTTTTTGCCTTTCTGAAATAACAACACATGCACAAAGAACTCAAGTGAATTCACATGAACCAAAGCATAATACGCGTGGTAGGTGGATCTTTTTGCATTCTAACTTGGTCGCGAAAACAAGAAGACTAGACGTCTTTACCATTGATTGCATCCATCTTAGACGTTAATAGGCCTAACGTTTGCCATCGAATAGGTTATTATTGATGATAGGTTATCAGATATATGCGTATAATATTTTTGATTTTTTGTAACATCAGAACCTGACCACCACCCTGCATGTTCAACTATGTTTTATGTTGAAAGTGTGTATAGAAACAACACGTCATCGTGTGATAATAAGTAATTTATTCATTAAGCCATTCAACAAATTATAAAATTTATTGAAAGTAGTTAATTTCTTGAATTATATAAGGTGAAGCCTTGTTACTTAAACATCGTCAAATGATCTCATCTAGTGCAGAAAGGATTTCAAGTAGTCAGCTAGTTCTTGTTTCTCATCTTGGCTCATCTTGGCGACGTGGTGATCAACTAGAATGTAAATTATAAAATAAATTTTCATGATTAAGTTAAATATTTGGATAGGTTTTTATTTTAATTTTTTTTTTCAAACATGCAATGTTCTATATACAAATTTTTAATCTACTTAAAATCTCAAACTGATAAATTATAATTCATTAAATCATAAGGTAAAAATTCTAAAATAACTGTTTTTAATCTAAAACAATGAAAAACTAAAAAAAAATAATCAAACAAAATCAAACCTGTAGCTGGCAATTGAACTGGCCTAGCCCCACCACCAACCAGGTAATCAATTCCTTTCTGGATGCGCTCAGCCAGCTGGTCGGCTGGTATCTTGTCGACGTAACCCTTGATCTTTGCCTTCATCTCGTCCATGGTCATTTCATGGTCATGATCGTGGTGGTCGGCTTGGACGGCCAGGAAGACGGCCACACCGATGAGAAGAGACAGGATGAGTTTGCCGTTCATGGTGGATGCGAGTTAGACTGCAATATTTCGAAAGTATAAAATATTTACATTATAAAACAATTTAATTTTTGAATATATAAGAACAAATTTTATCTGCATTGTTCAATCGCGTTTCTTAAATAATCAAAATTAAATTAACAAATTAAAAAACTGAAATCGGAAATGCCTTAAAATCGCAATCATCTCAACTACCTTAACGAGAAATTGAAAATTGACAAAGTAAACAAGGAATACACAGTGATAAACTGTTGTTTTTTTATACACGTTTTAAAATTTCTTTATCATCATCGGAATATGACCTTTGCACTCGTTCTGAAATTAAACTGTTCTGAAAATGATTTACTAATCAGCAGTTGCCATTAATAACGTCGAAGGATGAACTTTAATTGAAATAAATTAAACTCCATGCACCTCACATTATATGCACCTTCTTTATATCTCATAAATTTTGCAGTCATGAACATTCATATTGTTGTGACTTTACTGATCGTCACCACTGACACCCGTGTTTAGACTTCCAAGATCTCACTTCTGCCATCAGAATTTTACTTTGCACTATCGTTAAGTTATCTATATTACGTAGGTTTGATAGATTCTGATAGATAAACACAACTGCTTCAAAAGCAAACTTATTTAAACATTTATTCCAATGCTAACAGTAATAGAAACCCTAAATTATTTACTAAACCAAGAAATCCGTTCCATTTGGCACGATCGCCAATAATTCACATCGCATTTGTTTCCAACTGATAGGATGGCGTAAATATTTTCAAATAATTTTTCTGATTCAGATAGCTAAATATCGTCCGAGATTGAGTCAGCAGTTACATTTCAACGATCAAATAATTCCCATCTTTGAGAATTGTTTGAAAACTTTTTAGTTTCTTTGCAAAACCCAATAATTCAGTTCAAGGTGGCCTTTTGTTACGTTACCATCAAATTTTTAAGTAACCCAGTTAGCTGCTGCAGTGCATAGCTCGGGTTTCTTTCAAAATTTCATGTTCTTTCTTGCCTCCAAAATGATGAATCAGCTTAAAGACTATCAAGGTCAGAGTATCTTTTTTAAACTTGATCCATAACCATGTTGTGAACATTGACACAAAATTTATCTTTCACAATGTCAAGCGGTCGGTTGGCTATAACACTGGTCAACACCCAAAAAATTTCCTAAGGTCTTTTGGCTGATTTATGGAAATTTTGATGTCCTGAATCCAAATATCACATTGGTTTTTCTAGATCAGGTCAACTTTCTAAGCTATGGCCATATCTTCATTTTCACTTTTTTGTGTACAGTCCCAGGTATTTTCGCTGTATGTGATGCTTTGTTCTTAATCACTTCATCACTATGAAGAATTTGCAATTTTAATTAATTGGTATTTTTATGTTTCCCCTATGCACACACACACACACACGTTCAATGCATTAAATCACGTAACTACAGTCACGTGATCAGACAATCGCAGACATGCCCGGACGAGGCTGTGTATAACTATGGATAGTTACGTCAGCATTTTCCAAATCTGAGCCATATAGCAGATTGCATTAGTATAGGTATCAGTTGCAAACGAATCGCAAGCGAACGACATGGCTTCCAAGAGAAGATCTTGTAAAAATAAACCCGACGTATTTTGCTATATCTGCGGTGAATACACACTTGTTCATAACAGGAATCAAGTCACATGTTTCATAAAGCGTGCTTATCATGCTTATTTTGGTATTAAACTTGGTGACCAGGATAAAGATTGGGCGCCACACATGGTATGCAAAGCTTGCACCGTGTATCTGCATCAGTGGACCAAGGGCAAGAAGACGTGTCTGAAGTTTGGAATTCCCATGGTTTGGCGGGAGCAGAGAAACCATGACACTGACTGCTACTTCTGTAGCATCGATCTGACTGGGATAAACAGAAAGAACCGAAGCAGCCTCGAGTATCCTGATTTGCAATCCGCACGTCGTCCTGTAGCTCATTGTGATGATATTCCAGTACCTGTGTTTCACAAACTTCAAGACATCAGTGATGACGAATCCTCCAGTGATGAAGATCAGGAAACAGAAGAAGAATGGCCAGTTGTTGACGATGAAACTCCACAGCTTTTTTCCCAACAGGAGCTAAATGATCTAGTTCGCGACCTCAGCTTGTCAAAGGCCTCTGCTGAACTGTTGGCATCCAGATTGAAAAAAAAACCTCCTCTCTGGCTGTGCTCGCATCACCCTGTACCGCAACAGGCATCAAGAGTACCTCCAATTTTTCTCGGAGGTGCAGGACTTGGTGTACTGCACAGATATTGCACAGCTTCTGCACCACCTGGGAGTGCCGCAGTACAAGCCCGAAGACTGGAGACTGTTCATTGACAGCAGCAAGCGGTCACTGAAATGTGTTCTACTGCACAACGGCAACCAGTTTGCCTCTGTGCCCCTTGCTCACTCTACTAAACTGAAGGAGAAGTATGAAGCGGTGAAGTATGTGCTGGAGATGATTCGTTATGATCAGCATAAGTGGGTTATTTGTGTCGACCTGAAGATGGTGAATTTTTTGTTGGGGCAAC